CCTTGCCAGCTTCTGACCGTCTCATAGCTCCTCATGGCTGCAACTCCTGGCCATTGACTCTTAGCTGTGTGTGTGGCCACCACTGGCTAGCACTCACTTCCAACTCAGAACTATTAGGTTTGGTCCCCAGTACAGACCCAATAGAGAACACTGCCACCAACAGTCCCTCTATTGTTGCGTGTGGATCTGTTGTGGCAGTCACATGATTCGGTTTTTGTGGAAACATGTTTATAGAGAGAGCTGTTGCATAGCAACAGCCTTCTCTTCTGGCTCTGCTACCCCAGCTTTTAGCACATGTCACAATATACACACTGCAGTGTCAATGAGCAATAGGTACAGTGTTCTTTCTTTTTTACGTTGCTGTCCCTTGAAAATATAGGCATACGAGACACTGTGCCATATGTGTTTGTCTGTCCCACCCTTTCAACTTTTGATTGAACCTTCTGATTTTCACAAAAGTTTGTATAAACTGGAGTCCACCTTATACTTTATAATTTCCTAGAATCAAAAATAACAAGATGGAACCTACCATGAAATTGTGAGGTGATAGTGACACTAGCGCACTATAATACAGGGTCCTAAAATAACGCATGGCAGGGCTGTACAATTTGTGGCATGAGGACCACCAGCTTGTTTTATGCAGAGTATTCTTCCACTCTCCAAAATGTGTGGTTGTTAACATTTTTCTCCTTTTCTAAAGGTAATGACTGTTGAAAATACAATATGAAAAGTGACTGTTAAATATTTTGTGTAGTTTTTCAACTGATTTCACACAACATCTAAGGAGAGTCTGGAATTAGTATGGCTCCATGAGCATGCATTTGTGCTTCATAGATCTGATGATCACTGAAGGCAGATATGTTTGTCATTATATAGCAATAACACCAGATTTAATGTTTTCCTCAGTGGTTTGAAGTCTGACAGCCTTGATGTATGGTAAAAGATATTTGGAAGAAAAAAAACTTTTATTGAGCTAATGATTTCTGTAGAATGTATATGTCACTGCATTAAACCCATGTGTAGCTCTCAGTTTGATGTGAATAATTTAAGAAACACCAGGGTTAGACATCTGAAAGTTGGTATAGGAAAATCATGAACATACATACAGATTCTGTACAAAACGTTGTGAACCATTACAAATATGGCAATGGTAACTGTTACACCTCCAGGAGGGGGGGGGTGAGAAAGTATTTCTAAATTAGTCCGTTGCCACCCTTTCAGTTAGGCTGTTCGCTGCGCTCGGCTGCTGTCGACTACCGGGGTTAGTCTGGCTTCGTTTGGGGTAGGATCTCTGTGGGTCAGTCGGGGACAGGTTGGTTATGGAGGGGTGAATCAAACTCCCTGAGTACATCCTATCCTATGTTCACTGGTCTATTTACACTGATATTTACAATAAAAAGGGCCACCTTCGGCCAGTTTACATAACACCGTTTCGTTTCTCTCTCTAATTTCCCTCTCGGGGGTGATGCCGCGAGACTGTTGCTTCCCTCCATTGCCTGTCACTCTACACAAT